CGGGCCTGGCTGGCTGGGGTCCCAGTGTGAGTGCTCAGAGGAGGACTACCGCCCCTCCCAGCAGGATGAGTGCAGCCCCCGGGAGGGCCAGCCCATCTGCAGCCAGCGGGGCGAGTGCCTCTGTGGGCAGTGTGTCTGCCACAGCAGTGACTTCGGCAAGATCACCGGCAAGTACTGCGAGTGCGATGACTTCTCCTGTGTCCGCTACAAGGGGGAGATGTGCTCAGGTGAGTAGAACGTCAGGCCCCTCCATCTGGGAACCCACGTACCCTGTACCCTCGCACATCCACAGCCTCTGGAAACACGGGAGGGCTGGAGCTGGGCAAAGGCAGGCAGAGCTGTAAGTCAATGATTCCTACTCTTTTCGAGTATAAGGACCAACCCCCTTTTCAGGTTAAAAAAATCACTAGTAAATGACAATTAAATTTTTAGTATTTATAGACTTAGAAAACATATGATGTCAGAATATATGATAAGTTAGTAATAATTTTGCATGAATTTATCTTTTTATCCCAAGAGGCTTCAAAAATAGCAGTATACATGCAAGATGTTGAAGCACACTTAATGAACTAATATACTTAGAACAATGTCCAGAAAATGGTATGATGCTCTTATTAAATGTCAGCACTATTTTATTATTACTGTTACTGCTGTTGGTACTATTATTACTCCTGGGGGTTCTAGATCTGTGCTGTCCAATATGGTAGCCATTAGCCACGTGTGGCTATTTAATCAAAAATAAAAAAAAAAAAAGTTCAGGTCTTCAGTTGATCCGTAGCCACATGTGGCTAGGGGCTGCCATATTGGACAGCGCAGATCTAGAACATTTCAACATGACAGCAAGTTCTGTTGGGTAGTGCTGCCACAGAGAGTCCCTGCCTACAGACTGGGGATTATGATTTCGAGTCCTTCTACATGCAGGGTGCTGAGTTTCCTTCTCATTACAAACTGCAGTAAAATCTCAAGGCCCACTGATAAGCTCAAACTAGTGTCTCCTTGCCCCCATTCCTGGGGCACCTCCTCACCTAGAAGTCGAGCTAATGCCAAGGTAGTCTTTATCTGCAGACATGCTGCCAATGCTCACATGGCAAATAGGCAGTCTGAGATGTTCCTGGGGCACTAGGGACAGGTTTTGCTGAGCCACAATTGCTGTGGCTTAATTCCTCTTGCGACAGACAGGTTGCAGACACTTGCACGGTCGTTGGGACTGGGTTAGGGGTGTCTTGTGTGGCCAGTTGAATTGAGAGATTATAATTGTTCTCTGTTATGATCCATGATGTGGATTGGCTACATGTGCACTGGGGTTCTAACCAGCTCAGCAGGTGTTCACTTTAACACTGACAATAGCCTTTATAAAAGCTCATTTGAAAGGTAAATCTGTGTCATTCTAAAGCCTGCCCAAGTAACATAAAAATGACCCCTTTTTATTATCTACAACATTGTTTCCTTTACTCATGCTGACAAAATTTTCGAGAGAGTTTGGAGGAAAGTGATAGAGAGATTAGGGGAGAGAGAGATCAGGTCTGCACAGATGAACACACCCAAATAGCAGCAGTTCGAATTAGGGGGTGAAGAAGGAATTTCAATTCATTTTAATATTTGGCAATATTTACATCTAATTCAAAGTGCCAAAGGAAATGGATAAGTTCGATGTGGGAGACCCAGAGGAGGAGGTGGGACTGAGGGGAGAGGGTTGCCCTAGGGGGGGCCGCAGATGGCCTACCCCTCTGCTTCTCCACAGCCGACTGTTCCTGGTCTGCAGTGAGGCAGTGTGGGAGGACCAGCCACAGTGTGTTTCCTTTGGCTGCCGGCCCCACTGAAGCCACAGAACAAAGCTGACTGGGTCAGCAGCCCCAGTTCCTGCCTCCCACCCGTGCAAGAACAACTCGTCCTCCGTGCTAATCCGTGAGGGAACCGTGGGCAGCCACTGCGGCCTCCCTCCATCACCTCTTGCCAGGCTGTGAGGTCCCTGACCAGGCTCAGGTCTGGACTCTTGCTGCCGTCATCACATGCTCCAGAGGCCGGTACTCAGGGACACACGTTCATTGAGCACCTGCTCTGTGCCAGCATTTGGTCCCTATGAGTAAACAGGGGTCATGTGTGATTTCTGACCTCTCAGAGCTTGTAGCCCAGGTCCCCATTGTCCCTCACCAGAGCTGCTGGCCTGTGGTCTGTCCTTTGTCACCCCTGGCCTCTAAGCATGGGGCAAGTTCCGCCGCCTTGTCCCCTCCCTACTTTAGGCGTGGTCTTCATGGTTGCATGTTATCAGCACCTCTGCCTCAAACATCAGGCAGCGCATCCTTGTCCTGCGGGGCTTTTCCACCTGCCACGCCCACCGACAGAGACTGACCAGGCACCCTCTGTGAGCCGGGTTCTGTGCTGCAGTGGAGTGGGACAGGGGGACGTAAACAAGACGGTTTCCCCTTTCATTAACTTACTTCAGGATAATTCACGGGCAGAATCTGAGCAATCTCAGAGCCCAGAGGTGCAGGGTCCTCAGGGAGTGTCACAGGAGTCCACTGGAGTCCTCATGGACAGTGGAGGCCAGGGCGGCTTCATGGAGGAGGTGGGATGTCTGACGGGTCGCAAAGGAAGGGCTGGTCATGCAGGAGGCGGGTGGAGCCGTGCGTTGGCCTGGAAGGGCTGTGTGGGGACAGCGATGAGCCCAGAACATCCAGCTGTATAGGGAGAGCGATTGCTCGCTCACGTTCCCTCCGGCCCGAAATCCCTGCTCCCCCCCGCCTCGCCTCCTTCCCTCCCTCCCTTCTCTTCCACTCTTCCTCTTCACTCCTCACCCCTCTCCTCTGACTTCCTTATGAACCCAGGCTCAGCCTCCCTCTTGCTGGAGGGGTGCCATCTCTGTGACATTACCACACTGTGGCTTCCTTTTGAGGGCCGACCCTGCCAGGGCTTGGGGTCAGCCTGCTGGCTCTGGCCTGCCATTGCCACTTCCAACCTCACTCCCTGGCCCATCCTGTCAAAGATCACTTTGTTTAGCCTCACAAAGGAAACGCTATGGCACAGGGGTTTCTGAGGAGGCTGAGGCCTGAGTGCCGCCAGGCCTCTGTGGTGTCGGTCTTTCCCCATCCAGGAGCCATGGTCAAACGCAGGGTAGTGGATGCCACGGGGCCTGGCTCCGCCGGCTGGCGCACCCCTCCCCGAGCTGCTGTGAGGGTTGGCTGGTGACAGCTCACAGCTGCCCCTTCTCTGGAGGACTGCCCTCGGCCGACGGGAGCTGCCTTGCCCCCAGATATTGGCCAATGACTGAGGGACAAGGGGTTACACAAGGCCAGTCCCTTTGCTGAAGGTGTCACTGGCTGAGACGACATTCCTGCCAGCTTTGAATCTCGCCCTGTCCTGCTCTCTCCTTCCTCTCTACTTCCCCAACGAGTCACCTGAACAATAGTCCTCCCCACAAGCTGTACTTCCGGGGACCCCAACCTCAGGACACAGAGCCTTTCTGCTTTCCCCACCAGCATGGCATCCCTGCTCTCCAGATGTGCTCAGCAGCTGGAGTTATGTTCCCCATCCTTCCGGGGAAACAGACGTTTCTTTCCGAGGCAGGGAAGGTGTGCCTGCGTCTTGAATGTTGGTGTGGTTACTAGAGAGGGTGGTGCTGGGGCCATAGCAGAGGTCCCGATAGGGGCCACGAGACACCAGTCAGGCCACCGTCCAGCCGCTCTTTGAGCCTGGCCATGTTCTACCCGCCCCTCTACCTCCTGGGGGCCCATCTCACAGGGACATGGTTTCCAGACAATTCAGGCTACTTCCCCTTTACCCTCTGCCTTTCCTCTGATTAACAATCAGATTCTTATTATTCATCCACTTCTTCCTGATTCAGAATCCTGGAGAATGAGTCACCTTTCTGCAGCGTTTAGGAGTCAACTTTTAAAGCCTTATTAAGTGAATATTGGGGGCTCCATCCAGCATTGGGAGTTCATGCCTGCCTTTAAGCAGACTAACCCTCCACCCCGTCTCCTCCCAGTCCTACACTTACAATAGAGTGAATAGGTCTTTCCTGCTAGGGCTGAGGGCTCATTGTGATACTGTAATAATACAAGACAGGGCACACACTGGCGAATATGTGTGCGTTTTCTGGGAATTTAACTAGGTTGTAAACTCCACCATAGTAGGAACCTTGCCTGTCTTGTTCACTGCTGAATCTAGTGCCCAGCATGGGGTATGAGCTCAATAAATATTTGTTGAATGAATGGATAAGTGAATAAACATTAATTGTATGCCTGCTCTTTAGCAGATTTCATGCTGGTCACTGCTGATGGAAAAAAAATTTTTTTTTGAGACAGGGTCTTGCTCTGTTGCCTGAGTGTGTGGTGGCGTCATCATAGCTCACAGCAACCTCAAACTTGGGGGCTCAAGTGATCCTTCTGCCTCAGCCTCCCAAATAGCTAGGACTACAGGCACATGCCACCATGCCCGGCTAGTTTTTAAATTTTTTACAGAGGTGGAGTCTTGCTAGGTTGCTCAGGCTGGTCTTGAACTCCTGGCCTCAAGTGATCCTACCACCTCAGCCTTACAAAGTGCTCGGATTATAGGAGTGAGCGTCCATGCTTGGCTTAATGGAAAAATTAATGTTCTCTCCCATCAAGGAGCTCACAATCTAGAAAAAGAAACAGGCAAGCAAATGACCATAAAATAAGGGTAGAAATACAGGTAGACATAAAGTCCTTGGAGAACACATGAACAGTTGATTATGCCTAGGAATATCAGTAAAAGTTATAGCAAGAAAGGAACAGTTGATTTAGGCTTTAAAGGGTGAATAGGAGTTCAGTAGTGGTCACAGAATAAAAGGCATTTTGGGTAGAGGGAACAGCATGAACAGAAACAAGAATATAAGGATAGTTCAGAAGATGGTGAATCATTCAGTGTGGTAGCTAATGTGTGGCAATGAGAAGTGGGTGATGAGATGTAAAGCTGGAAGGAAGTTGAGCTCCTTGTAAAGGCCTCAAAGCTTTGCTAAAGACTTAGACTTAATTCTTTAGGCAGTATGGAGTCTTTGTAGGGTTTTAAGCAGGTAAGGGGCATGATCAAGTTGATTGGTGTTCTAAAATGGTGGGTCTCAACTGGGAGGAAGGAGCTATTTTGTCTCCCAGGGGACATTTGGCAATGTCTGGTGACATTTTTGATTATCACAACTAGAAAGGTGCTACAGATATCTAGCAGGTAGAGCCCAGGATGCTGCTAAGCATTCTATAATGTACAGAACGAGCCCCCACAACAAAGAATTATCTGGCCCAAAATATCGAAAAGTACCAAGTTTGAGAAACCATGCTTTAAAAAGAGAATTCTGGCTGCAGAGGGATTGACAATAAACAGGAGAACAGAGATGACTTAGTTGTCTGGAGACAGGACCAGGCTGGGGGCAGGGGATGGAAATGTCTACAGTGAGGCCCAGAAACTCAGCAGTCAGAAACTCCCCTTCTGTCCCCTCCACTCGATTAGTTCAGTATCTTTGAATTCCTAAAATGTTCTTGAAATTTCTCACTGGTGTCAAGCTTAGTTACTGGACTTGCTGTGACTCCCTTGTTCCTACTTTAATCTTCCTTCTTCCACGGGTCTGGCCTTGTCTTCTACTGGCTAAGCCTATTTTCTCTGTAAGTTACAGAAGTCTCTGGAAAGACCATATTAGTATAAAAAGGGAAAAGCGTTGTTTACAATACTGCATAGAGGCTAAGCAACTGGGATCTGAAGTTGCAGGGACTTCGGTTTGAGTCCTGACCCTGCCGTTTACAAACTGTGTAGCCTTGGGAAAATTACTTAACCTCTCTGACCTCACAGGGTTATTATAAGAAATGAACAGAGTAACATACTAAAGAACCTGGCACAGTGCTTGGCACATATTAAATGCTCAACAAATGTTCGTGGCCATTATTATCATGGTTGTGGCTGTCGTTGGCACCCCCTTCCACAGGGAATATTTACCTCCTTGGTTGGTTTGCAAAATAGATGCCGTTCAGTTTTCTAAATGCTTTCCAAGGCTGTTCCACTACACTCCTAAGGCCACATAAGATATAACGAGGCCAGATTGAGAAGAGAACCAGGGCAAGAAAAACAGGCTGTGTTGGTGAGGCTGGGGACAGTTGAACTGTGTCTGTAACTTAAAAAAAATTAATTAATTTTTCAATGTTTAGTTGTGGTAAATGTTCCTGCATTGTTTGAGTGCAGAGGCAGGACAGAGGGTGAGCCAACAGAGGCCACTAGGCTACGCGAGGCCATTGCTAGCTATTGTCTCTGCTGCTGTTCACCTTAGAAATCGCTCTTTTCTCTTGTTTTTTCATTTAGCTTCTCTTATTTTCTGACTTCTTTTCTCTGTAGCATTCATGGGATTTATTTAACCATACTGGCTCTCAGCAACCTGTGAGGTAGGATATATTTGTTCTCTGTGCTTACTTGGTTCCACTGGCTGACTCCAGGGCTCTCGGTGCCCTCCCTCTGCCCCTTGGGTGCCCCGTCCCATCTACCCATGCATTCAGGGCACTCTGTGTGCACCTCCCCTTCTCAGGCATTTGGAATAGCCCTGTGTTCTGGATCTTTCCATTCCTCCCTTCCCCCTATAGTATAATTTTCTTGTCTTGCGTATATTCTCCCAAGCTCTGCTTCTCACCTTGCAAGGTGACACCTTTGCTGGTTTGAGAAATGGAATAATGGAAATTAGTGGCTGATTTGTTAGTGAGAGGGGACCAGATTGTCCAAACTAGAGCCTGTGTTGTTGTCTAACCCAGTTGGGTGGTGACAATGATGACAATGGTAGTCCTCTCAGGTCAAGTCCCTGTGTCAGGTCAAAGCAGAGAGTTTTGGGGCCTGAGGGGCCTTTTGCCATCATCAGATCACACCATCAAGGCACTGAGTGTCCTGTCTGGGCTTGGGCTGTGGCTTAGTGCTGTGCCAGCCCTCAGGGCTGAAGAGCTTGATTCTTTCCTTAGACTAGAAGTTGGCAGAGAAGGCAGAGGGGTTCAGAATAGGGCAAGAGGAAGGGTGGGAGGCCTGGGAGACTTAGTTCCTGAGACTTCTTTGCTCTACGATGGCTCAGACCAAGTCCTGCTACACCTTGGGACACCTGGAAAACTGAGTTTGTCCTCACTGGGTAGGGTTCCCCTGGTAGTGAGCCAATTCCCGGCCAATATGGAGGTCTGGTTGGGGAGCAGGGTGGCTGTAGCCTGCTGTCATGGGATGGGAGCCCTCACCAGCTGGTCTGCGCTCTTGGGCTGTGTGCTTTCAGGACATGGCCAGTGCAGCTGTGGGGACTGCCTGTGTGACTCCGACTGGACCGGCTATTACTGCAACTGTACCACACGCACTGACACCTGCATGTCCAGCAATGGGCTTCTGTGCAGTGGCCGGGGCAAGTGCGAATGTGGCAGCTGTGTCTGCATCCAGCCAGGCTCCTATGGAGACACTTGTGAGAAGTGTCCCACCTGCCCAGATGCCTGCACCTTTAAGAAGTGAGTGGGCAGTTTGGAGAGAGTTGGGAGGTTGGGAGGTGGGAGAGGATCCCCCAGGCTAGAATCCCCAACTTTCCAGATCTGTCTCTTACTGATCCAAGCTTTAGGGAGAAGAGTCTGTTCCAGCCGAAGGGCCAGCTCTCCTCTTTCCAGTGAAAGCTTCAGGGAGGGGGGAATAGAGGCAAGTGTGAAGGGGCCCAAGTAGCGCCAGCTGGACTCCAATTGGAGAAAGCCCTCCCTAGGGTGGCATCCTGAATGCCTCTGACTTGGGAGGAAGGATAAACCAGATACCTCTGGGGAACATTCCAGTGCTGATGTTCTGATTCTGTGGGAGGTGTGGGGGCTGGAGTTATGGAGGATACTCTGAAACGGAGGCATTTAACCAGTACAAACTCACCCTTTGGGGGTCAGAGGAAGCCCCTGTCAGCATAATCTGTGGCACTGCCATTCCTCTTAGCACTTTAAGCAGGGCCAGATTCACAGGTGTACAACCTGTGCAGCTGTCCAGGGCCCCATGCTTAGAAGGGCCTCATGCTTGTTTTAATGTTCTATTGTCACCTTGAAATTCTTAATAATTTTTGAACAAGGCACCTGTCATTTTAATTTTGCACTGGGCCCCCAAATTACATGACCAGTTCTGACTTCAAGGTTTCCAGAAGTGGCATAGGGCTCACCATCTTGTCACAGCCCTGGATGGGACAGGAAGAAGTTTAATGAGGGATCTAGGGGGCCTCGGGCTGCCAGGTCCTGCCTGTGGGTGAGGAGGACACTTCACTCCTGAACTCCACACTCCACCCCAATATTGTCTTACAGGGGTGTGTGTGAGTGCGTGTGTGTGTGTGTGTGTGTGTGTGAGACACACACGGGTATATGTTTTAACTGAGGAGGAGCAGCTTTCTGGATGCATGGTGGTCAGAGCTGGACTGGGACACACTTAGGCTTGCTCATCCCTTGCCTTAATCGCTGTGTCCTCTCTCCTTTAGGGAATGTGTGGAGTGTAAGAAGTTTGACCGGGGAATCCTACACGAAGAAAATACCTGCAACCGTTACTGCCGTGATGAGATTGAGTCAGTGAAGGAGCTTAGTAAGTTCAGCACGTCTCAGAGTTATATACACCCAGGTTGTAAGTGTCTCCGATTCAACCTCAGAACCCATCCAACTCCCATCTGTCAGATGGAAGAGTGGTTCCTTCCTCAAGGAATATTGCACAGCCTGATACACAGTGGGCACTTGATGAAAGCTGGTGTCCTAGAGGGTCCCCCCGTATCCCTACTTATGTATGTGTCGTCGCCCCCCAACTTCGGCTTCCCAGAGCCCACACACTCAGCAAGAGTCTGCAAAGAACTTTTCAAGGGAACAGAAATCAGGCAACCCTAACTTCACCTCCCCAAGGAAAGCAAGATAATGTATCTCATTTCACGGATGAAGAAACTGAAGCACAGAGCTGGGAAGTGGTGCCCGTGGTAGCCACCGCCTTAGCTTAGGCTAGTGAGCATTTATCAGGTTTACTTAACTAAGAGTGGTAAGCACTGCCCAAGCTTGGCTTAAAGCTTTGTTGGCTTGGAGGGAAACTTTCACTCCTATGGATCTGTAAGCAAAATCTTTATCCTGTAGCCCTTCTCCCTCTCTGGAGCACCTCCTGAAATAAGACAGACAGAAATACAAACAGTGGGGAGCAAAACTCTTGCTTGCAATTATTCTGGTCTGTACTTCATCTTGACTTAAAATGAGATGATCTTTGCTGCTGTTGGCCCATCTGACATGGTTATCTGGGCCAGCTAGGCATAGGGTGGTGCCCAGGAGATAGCAATCTCCCCAAAGATAGCAATCTCTCACGAAGGCAGGAAATGTGTGGCAGTGAGAGAGAGAGCCACAGTAAGACACAGCCACTCAGTCAGTTTCTGGGTGGAGGTGTTACGGAAAAGAGTCAGACCGCTGGACCTTTTGGCTAATATCAGAAGCAGGGCTGGGTGAGGTTTGCAATTTGGAGATTGCATTTGAAGAGGCAATTTTTCTGCTTGCTATGGTTAGCTCGGAGGATAGAGGATGTTGAAATGTTGAGATATTTTTATCATCTACACCAGATGGGTATTACAAGTTAGTTGATATTGATAAGTATTTCTGTACCTCCATCCGCCTTTACCACCATAATAAACATCAAAATATATGCTTATTTATATGGAATTTTGTAACTTATGAAAGTTATAAAAGTATCTTTCATATGCATTATCTTATTCTTCTCCCAACAACCTAGTGAAGTGGAATTATAGCACTATTCTTATCTTCATTTTGTGGACGAGGGAAGTGGGTCTCAAGAAAGTTAAGTAACTGGCCCAAGCAAGTGGTGGGTTAAGATGAGAACTGGTGAGGTGCGATGGCTCGTGGCTGTAATCTCAGCACTTTTGGAGGCTGAGATGGGAGGATCGCTTGAGGCCAGGAGTTTGAGACCAACCTGGGCAACATAGTGAGACCACAGCTCTGGTTTCATCAGTGCAGGGCAGAGTGTAGCTGGTGGAGGGTAACCCGCAGTGTCACTGGCAGAATAACAGGCTTTAGAGTTAGAAGGGATGAAGCCTACAAAACCCGGTGGGGGTCAGAGGGGAGAGGACGGCCCTGGGGAGGCACACCAGACCCGAAACAGAAATGGAAGAGATATAAGAGCTGCGTAAGGCCGGGCGCGGTGGCTCACACCTGTAATCCTAGCACTCTGGGAGGCCGAGGCAGGCGGATTGTTTGAGCTCAGGAGTTCGAGACCAGCCTAAGCAAGAGCGAGACCCTGTCTCTACCAAAAATAGAAAGAAATTAATTGGACAGCTAAAAATATATAGAAAAAATTAGCCGGGCATGGTGGCGCATGCCTGTAGTCCCAGCTACCCGGGAGGCTGAGGCAGGAGGATCGCTTGAGCCCAGGAGTTTGAGGTTGCTGTGAGCTAGGCTGACGCCACAGCACTCTAGCCCGGGCAACAAAGTGAGACTCTGTCTCAAAAAATAAATAAATAAATAAATAAAATAAAAGTGAGATGGGTGCCAAGAGCAACCTGCCTGTTCCTTCAGAAGAGGCCTGATGGTTGGAGGGATTGACCTTACCTGGTTCACTGCAGGATGTAGGGGTGGGTTTGAGGCACCAAATAAAAGTGAGATGGGTGCCAAGAGCAACCTGCCTGTTCCTTCAGAAGAGGCCTGATGGTTGGAGGGATTGACCTTACCTGGTTCACTGCAGGATGTAGGGGTGGGTTTGAGGCACCAACCCAAGGCTTTCCCTGAACACTAAAGAGACTTGCTCTCAAGGCCTTCTGGAAGTAGGAGGAGCCCCTCCCATCATACACAGACCAACCCCAGGATTGTCACCATCTAACACTGTAGATCTGCTCCCCCCCACCACCTTTGTAGCCTCCCTTTCCCTTCATCCCATACAGACTAAGGTATGATTTATTAGAAAATATTTTCGAATACTTACTATATATCAGGCACTGTGTGAGGTGCTGAGAATGTAACAGGAAATAAGGCAGACGTGGCACTTACAGGCTGTAAGGGAGACAGGTGTGTAAGTCAGCGGTGTCACTGCAGTGGGACAAGGGCCATGTGGTGGTTGGGGGTGGACAAGAATGTTCGGGAGTGAAGAAACAACCTCTGAAAGTAGAGGCAAAATCAGTTGGTCTCTTGATGTTTACAGCTGTAGGAGTTTCTTCAAATCAGCTTTTAGACTGGGGGCCAGAAAACCTTTTCTGTAAAGAGCCAGATGTTAAATATTTTAAGCTTTGTGGGCCATACGGTCTGTGCTGTGATGACTCAACTCAGCTATGGTAGCAGGAAAGCAGCCGTACACAATATGCAAATGAATGGACATGACTGTATTTCAGAAACAGCTGGTGGGCCACATTTGGCTCACGCGGAGTCCACCTGCGCTGTGTTCTTTACTGGTGCTTTCGGTAATTGGGGTAAACCCCAACATTTGTGTGCCTCTGCTTCAGACGTGTCCTCTCCCCTGAGGAGCCTTCTCAGAGCTTCTTTAGCCTCTGTACCCACCACTGACAAGGTTTGGTGCTTTTATTTGGTTCCCAGAGCATCTGTGCTTCCCTTACAAGGGCCTTCATCACACGAGTAAATTGGTTCTTTAATCATCTGCTCAGTAGGTTGCAAGCTCCAGGAACGCAGGAACCATGTCTGTCTTATCTGTTATATCCCTGTACTTAGCTCAGTCATCTACAAAGAATGTATTCAGTAAATGGGTTTTGAATTAATTAATAGGACAGATTAGTCCTATAGGACTAGTGGGCTCATACACATCTAGGTATTTTTTAGGAGAATTCTGCCTGCATGGGGAAGCGAGAGGATGAAGGTGGGAAAAGCCTGGAAGAGCTACCTCATGTTGCACTTCCTTAGGGTAGGGCTGCCACATCTGTGTCACCCAGGGAGTTGCTGTCTCTGTGGGTAGAGGAGACCATTGTCCCCCATCTGGAATATTATCCGTCAGCCCTTCCCAGAGCTTTCACCCTTTATAAAGGAGAAGGAAGGTATAAAAAGGGCACCACCTTAATTTTATTTAGTGACTCAAGGAAAGTTGATGTGGGGCAGAGGGGAGGGGAGTCTGGGTATGTCTATGGGGGAGCAGATGTGGATTGGTTTGACCGTGACTTCCTCACACTGTCCCACTCACCCACATTAACATATTGCATGATTTTTCTACACTCAATTTGTATCTTTGTCCCTTCTTATTTCAGAAGGCTGGTGTGTCTTTGCTTCGGGGTTTAACATTATTTCATCTCTTTGCTGGTGCTCGGGCTGTATCACTCACCAAAATCATTTGGGTTGGTATTTTGAGCCCAGAATCTATTGCCTGAAGTTGTCGGGGAGCATAGACGTTGATAACCTGGGATGGTACAAATAGCCCCTGGTGGGTAACTCTTCAGGTTCACTGCCGGTAGACCCCTTCTTCCACATTAGGAGACAGCACACCAAATCCGTAGACCCCCATTTCTTGTCTCGTTGCTCTGGAATTCTAGACTCCGCCTCCCCTCTCGTCCCCTACCCCTACCACTTCCAGGGGCTCTGTCTTTGAGTAGAATGCGGCAGCTGGGATCCCAGAGCATAGGGGGAGATTACTCTCTTTCTCTTCCCCAACTGGTGCTCTTGCAGATGCTCTTTTTGAAGGGCTGAGCCACTGCAGGGCAGTAAAGAGAGCATTGCCAAATGGTTTGGCATTGGCCAAGTGGACTTTAGCCACATGGAATGGGTTCCTGAGCTGGGTTCTCGTCACTCCCAGATAGGGTTGCCAGATAAAATACAGTATGTCCCAAACAATATTTGGTACTTATATAGAAAAAAAGAATTCATTGTTTATCTGAAATTCAAATTTGTCTTGGCTTCCTGTAGTTTTGCTTGCTAAATCTACCAGCGCTACCCAGACTTCCCTGACCTTGAGTCACTCACCATGGATCTACTGCGGTGGCTGAGAGACCCCTCTGGGGACCACCTGACCTTGTCTTCTGCTTCCAGGAAGTCTGCCACCCACTCCTTTCAGGACAGGTGGCTGACAGATGGTTTTCCCCTGAAGACCTCCCGGCACTCTACCTGTCCTGCCCATACTAATACGCCTAATCGAAGAGATTTCACTTTGAGGTTTGAGGGTGAGCGTTATCCCAGTCTTCTAGAGAATTCATAATTGCTTTTCCCAGAAGAACTGAGGCCCTCCACTCCTGGGAACTTGGACACTGGAACCTCACAGCCTCTCTCCAGACGCTCCTTTAACTATAGATAGGTTGTAATTTGGCGGGTTGGGCGATGGCCAGCTTGGGTTTGTGGTGGTGGTGGTTTCTGTGTAGAGTGTGGTGAGCAGAGGGTGTGTGTTTAGAGAAGAAGGTGGGAGACAGGGTGGAAAAGTGGATGTGACTTCCTCTCCAGACTCATCAATACCCACATATACCAACACATGGTTTCATAACACTTGAGGTTACTGGAGTGAGGTCACCTCTCAGACACCTGATGTTTATGGGAAGCAGAGCTCTGCAGAGTATACTCAGCTTGACCCTCAGGGGGGTGACATGCCTCTGTGTTGGTTGTTGCCTGGGGTTGAACAGGAAGTCAGCTTTCAATAGGGTTATGATTTTAGATGACTAAATATTTTGGGAAAGAACCCAAAATATTGTCTTGGCTGGTAGACCTCCTGGTCTCTAAGGATGCTAAAAAGACCATTAGGGTCACAGCCCTCAGGAATGTAAATATCTGCACCAGGGTAACAGACATAATTGCCTACAGGGGCGAAGTAGCCAAGTAAATTAGTGAAAACAGTTGGGTATAAGAAAAACATCAGTTACAATGGTAGCTGATATCTATTTAGCACTTATTCTGTGTGAGACACTGTTCTGAGTTCTTTAAATATATTTATCTGAATTATTCTGCATAACGCCTTGTTAAAGTCAGTGCTATCACTTTCTCCATTTTAAAGATGGAGAAGCAGGAAACAGACATTCAGAAAGGTTAAGTAATTCACCACAGGTCACATACCAAAGTTAAGTCGTAAGCCAGGATTCAAACCTAGTAGTCTGGCTCTAAATTCCACAGTAGCACAGACACAATGGCAAATCACACTTTGCCTCCATTTAGGGGAGAAAAGGATGAGTGGTGGGGATTCCGGCAAACTAGAAATAACGTGTCTCAGCCAAAAGCGGCAGCTGCTCCTTGGCTCTAGCCAGTTGCTGCACTGTAGGAATATAGGTCCTAGTGTTTCTAGATCTTTTGATTTTTTTTTTTAAAGAGAAGAATAATCTGAAATTTTAGGGGGATAATCTCCTGATTCCTCAATGTTGCCAACAAAATAAATTTTATTGTCATTATTTTATTTTTAGATATGCAGTCTTGCTGCATTGCCCAGGGTGGAGCACAGTGGCTATTCACATGCACAACCATAGCTCACTGCAGCCACCAACTCCTGGGCTCAAGTGATCCTCCTGTTTCAGCCTCCCCAGTAGCTGGGACTGCAGGCGCATGCCACCATGCCTGGTTGTAAAATCAATTTTTAAAATAAACATTTGGGTGAACCTTCCCCCTAGGTATGGCTGGATTCTGTCCAGGGGTGACCAGTTTGACACCTCTGATTTAAACCACTCAGGACAGATTACTGTTGTCCTACAGATTGCCCCCTTTTCCAGAAAATAATTAATGAATTAATTTTTAAAAACTGTGCTGTTTCCTTCAGAGACCTTTATTACTTTGTCAAGAACACCTTATTCACAGCCAGTTCCAGGGATTCCTGCTTCATTCACAACCGTCCTGCTCTGTGCTTCTTCCCTACAGAGTGTCCCAAGGGCCCTGACATCCTGGTGGTCCTGCTTTCAGTGATGGGGGCCATTCTGCTCATCGGCCTTGCCACTCTGCTCATCTGGAAGCTCCTCATCACCATCCATGACCGAAAAGAGTTTGCTAAATTTGAGGAAGAACGAGCCAGAGCAAAATGGGACACAGTAAGAGGCTGGGCTGGGCTGGGCTGGGCTGGGCTGGGCTGAGTGTTTTCTACAGCTGTTGGTTCAAGAACCTAAAGTGGAAGCAGCAGATACTTAGGGTGGCCAGGTTCAACCAGCACCACAGTTTTCCAGTTATCTTCTGTTCTGGAAATTGGGAGATGGTCCGACTATCCCTTGTCCTTGAGTTTCCTGAAAACCACCTGATCCTCGACCACATGGTGACGAGACACCATGTCAGTGAGTACTGAGTGAACGCAAGTAGGGTCCAGCTCTGCTCTGACACTGAAGAAATGAAAAAGAAACTTACTCTCCAATTGAGGGAGACAGGACAAACCTACACTGAGAGCATATAACGCATAATAAACTCATCAAGTCTAAAGCATTAAACACAAATAGGAAAAAATATAATAGCTAACATTTATTGAGGATTTACCATGTGCCAGGAACTGTTCAAAATGCTTTTTACATATTAAATTATTTCATCCAGTTGGGCATGGTGGCTCTCACCTGTAATCCTAGCAGTTTGGGAGGTCGAGGTGGGAGGATCGCTGGAGGCCAGGATTGGAGACCAGCAAGATAGTGAGATCCAGTCTCTACATAAAACAAAACAAAACAAAAAAATAGCTGGGCATGGTGCTATACTCCCACCTGCTTGGGAGGCTGAAGTAGGAGGATGTTTGAACCCAGGAATTTGAGGTTGCAGTGAGCCGTGATGATGCTGACGCCACAGCACTCTAGCCCGGGCAACAAAGTGAGACTCTGTCTCAAAAAAAAAAAAAAAAAAAAGAGCTGCGTAAGCAAACCACTGAGAGTCACTGAGCAAGCAGAGTGAGGAAAGAGAGGGAAGGGGACACCTTCATATGTTGGGCCCTGTTTACTTCCTGCTGTTTAATTCCCCACCAACCCTGTGAGGTGGAGGTATCATTTTCTTTTTATAGATGAAGAAAGAGAGACTTGATGAGGTCAAGTAACTTGCCCAAGATCACACAGCTGGTAGGTGGTGAAGCCAGACTTTGAATTAGATTGTGGAATACTGTTATGTCATGTCCCTTTCATAGAACCAAAAAGGGTCTGTGCAGGGCAAAATAGGTCAGTGAGGGTCAGCCAGTGGCAATTGTCAGGCACGACAGCCATCTCGAATCTAGGCATCTTATACTTGTATGGCACAGGGCTCCTGCCATATACTTTCTCAGAAGTGCTGTGATAGGGGATTAGGGTGGCCCCATCTTCCAGTTATTGCCCCATTTTTTACTCCTCTGTCTCCCCTCCCCCAGAGGACACTGGCAAGGACGCAGTGAATTGTACCTACAAGAATGAGGACGACTGCGTCGTCAGATTCCAGTACTATGAAGACGCCAGTGGAAAGTCCATCCTGTATGTGGTAGAAGAGCCAGGTGAGTGACCCCTGCCCCAAGAAGAGGGAGAACCATGTTAGGCAGGAATTTCTACCTACATCCCTCTTAAACTGAACAGGTTAAGGCTGGCCTCGCAAGTGGTGAGTTAGGGTCTGCCATCTGGGTGAGGGGGATTTATAGATACAAGTATTAGCAAGAAAGTGACTTGCTAATCGAGGAGACAGAAAAATAAAGAGGTAGATAAGGGGAAGAAGGTAGGTATGGATCTCATCAATGAATAAAACATATCATGGCATTTTTTGAGGCAATACTGTCAAGAAGTAAAGAATTGTAATTCTAGGACTTTATAGCACACAGTGTCTGCTGTACTAAAAGTGAGATGAGGCTGGGTGCGGTGGCTAACGCCTGTAATCCTAGCGCTCTTAGAGGCCAAGGTGGGCAGATCGTTTGAGCTCAGGAGTTCAAGACCAGCCTGAGCAAGAGCCGTCTCTACTAAAAAAATAGAAATAAATTAGCTGGACAACGAAAAATATATAGAAAAAATTAGCCGGGCATGGTGGCGCATGCCTGTAGTCCCAGCTACCTGGGAGGCTGAGGCAGGAGGATGGCTTGAGCCCAGGAGTTTGAGGTTGCTGTGAGCTAGGCTGACGCCACAGCACTCTAGCCCGGGCAACAGAGTGAGACTCTGTCTCAAAAAATAAATAAATAAATAAATAATTTCATCTCTATAACAACCCTATGTGGTGGGCAATATTATTATTCCTATTTTATAGATGAGAAAATCGAGCACAGAGAAGTTGAGTAGCTTGCCTAATTGTGGGAAGGAATTAGGTTACTATAGGAATTACTTTTTTGGTCGGCCTTTTAGAAATAGTGGCAGGATGTCATTCCACCTCCTTCTCTTCTTTTTCCTCAAATAGTAAGATGGTCACTTCCAAATTAGACTCTAATCTTATGCTCCCTACATTTTATCCTGATTTAATCCAATTAAACAAGCATTGAGAGCCTTCTGTAGACTTAATTTTACTCTTTTCTCCTTTGACTCATCTTTTGCATTTTAATTTTTTTGTGGACCTTCCAAATGGCCGTTTGAATTCCTGAATGTCCAAGGTTGGGCTGCAAGTTTGTTCCCATTTGATGGCAACCCCAGGGGGCTCTAAAGTCCACAGTAGCACAGACACAATGGCAAGTCACACTTTGTCTCTGTTTAGGGGAGAGAAGGGTGAGCAGCGAGGATTCCAGCAAACTAGAAAACATGGGTCCTAACTAAGGGGCAGCTGCTCCTCGGCTCTAGCCAATGGCCACACTGTAGGAATATAGGTTCCAGTGTTTCTAGATCTTTTGATTTTGGTGCCCAAGAAACTGAGACGTTTCTACTAGGACAGTGCAGAACATCCTGAACCTCTGAGGCACACAATAATGTGCTGTGTTTCTTGGAGCTATTAACATCTACTGGACTTTATGAGATTTTGTTACTTTTTGTTGGAAAATAATTTGGGAAACCTAGTAAGAGTCTTTTTCCTGATAACATGACAGTTTTGTGGGTATTGCTTGAAGTGATGAGATGAAGACAAATTAAGACTTATTTGGGCAAAAGCAGTCCTCTGTGTTCTGACTGCCACCTGCTACATGTCACATCCCCCAGCACTGTCACAATGAAGGAAACGGGGAGAAGGGCAAAAGAGAGAGTGGGCAATGGAGGGGAGAAATGGAGAGATTGGGTAGAAGCTATCTAGAATGCTGTGGGATCACCAAAAATTGATGGGCTGAATTTAAGCCCTTAGAAATAGTGGCAGGATGGCATTCCACCTTTCCTCTCCTCATTTCCTATCCATTCCCATCCTAAGAGCTGAAGTGTGAGTAAAATGAGCATTAATCGGTTTCACTGATGGTATATTCTAGAGAAGCGTGTCTCACGCAGACTTCTCAGTTGAAATTTAAACATTTAGGGTAGGGAAGGACTGAAGCAGTCACTGTAAGACACTTTTCTGTTCTCTCCGCAGGCCAACAACCCACTGTATAAGGAGGCCACGTCCACCTTCACCAACATCACCTACCGGGGCACTTAATGACCAACAGTCACCCTCAGATCATTATCAGACTGTGCCGGGATGGTGGGAGTCTCTGCTGTCATGTTTACAGAGGACAGTATTTGTGGGGGGTGGGATTTGGGGCTTGGAGTGGGGAGGGTTGGGAGAACGTCAGTATGTGGAAGTGTGGGTCTCTGTGTGCGTGCATGTGTGTTGCGTGTGAGGGAATGTGTATAATTTAAAACTTGTGATGTGTCCTAATAAGTAGAGCTCCTCGGCCTCTGTCCTCAGAATGCCTCCTGCAGGGACTCTTCCTGCTTAGCTTGAGGGGGACCGTGGGGCTGAGCAGGTGTTCTTCATTACCTCAGTGAGAAGCCAGCTGTCCTCGTGAGGCCGCTCTCCCTGAAGGGAAGGGCAGGGCTGAGGCCTCTGAATCCAGAGGAAGAGACACCAAGCCTTGGCTCTACCCTGAGTTCATAAGTTCATAGTTCTTGGGCCTGACTCTCAGTAGCCATGGTAGGAACTGTGGGCTTTTGCTACCCCAGTGTGTCACCTGGGCCTCTATCCCCTCTCCCTTCCCTCAGGCTGAAGAAGGGGTCGGGGAGAGCTGAACTGTCAGAGCTGCCCGTGCTTTTTGCCATCCCCTCAGTCCAGCTATGGATCTCTCACAAGGGGAGTCCTTGCTACCTAATTCTTTGACCTTTTGGGAGTGAGGGTGGCAGGGCCACTCAGGAGTCATGCATGGCCTAGGGAACGGGCCAGCATTATCATCACAGCCCTTCAGATTTGCGTCATTGGCAGCTCCACGCTGGAGGTTTGTGTGCCAACCTTAGACCAGCACCACCTCTTTACCTCCTACAGCCACGCCCTCGCTGCTGTAGACCTTTGCTGTGTACTGGGGATTCCTCTCTTGACCAAATGCTTTTCCTCCAAGGAGAGTGCTATGGTTAGAGCCAGAGGTCTGGCCCTACCCTGCAGGCCTTTTGCTCCTTGTCCAAGGCAGCTCCATGTACCCAACCCTATGCCTCTGTGTGCTATATCCATCCGTGGGGCTGATGGCATTTATCTACTACCTCTTGGGTGTCTTGTGAAGGAATCATTCCCATGAGTCTGCTGGGCATAAGTGTCAGGATGGAATGATGGGCCAGTTGTATCAGCATGTGGGTGCGGCCTGTTCTTCTATGGGCCACATAACTTCATTTAACTCAGTCTTTGATCTGAGAGGCCACAAGTGCAATTTTCTTTTGTTTTTCTCATTGGGGCACCTGAAACCATGATAAGGTTTGCCTCATCTAAAGGAACATGCATATAAAAATACTTTCATTATATTTGTAAGTTTATATGATGGCAAAGAAGGAAGCATAGAAAATCACACAGACATAGGGGATGCAGACACTTGAGGAGATATAGCATCATTCCTAGCAAGTCACTGCCCAGTTGCTAGCTTTGTGAGGGGCTCTCTCATCCCAGAAGCCTGTGGGGATGGATATATGGACACACTGGACCACTCCTGAGGAGGAAGGACTGTTCTTTTATCCCAGCAATAGCAGTTGCTCCAATGGTGTTGACATACACCTAACATTAAAAACCACCCTTCCCCACTACCCAAGAAAAAGGGAAAGACTTATAAACAGTGGTCCGATGAGCAGAAAATCTAAGTCCTGGCCTCAGTGTTGCAGGTAAGGAATCTTTAACCTTAATTAAGAAAAGTCACTTTCTTCTCCTTGGGCCTCAGTTTTCTAGTCTGAAAAATTATGGGTTTTGACCAGCCACTCCTGAAGGTCTCTTTCAGGATCAACAATCTAAGACGTTGGGACTTACTGTGGCATCAAATATGCAGAGCAGATTCTGGGGATATTGATACTGTTTGTTTTTCTAGCTGGGAGATCTGAGAGACTTGGCTTTGGCAAGAGCAGATGTCATTCCATATCACCTTTCTCAGTGACAGTCTCATTCTATCCTCTCTCTAAACCCTGTCTCCAACTTTTGTTAATAGTTATGTCTCCTATTATAGCACTTAAGTTCCATTTAGTTATTATTTCATACTTCACTTTGCATACATTTGCATCCACATGTTAGGGAAGAGGAATCCATAGGAAGGAGCTGAAATGTATTAATATGTTCTGTACCCTTGTGTTAACATAGCACGTTAAGTCTTGGAATTAGGAACCGGATAATGGCTGAGCCCTGTCTCACCCATAGATTACTCCTTACTGTAGGGAGTGGGAATTTCGTAGAGGGATAAATGGGGCAGGGGGAGGGATAACCATCGATCCAAGAAATTTAGAACCTAACTATAACCTTCAGCTACTGAGACAGAGTCCAGGAGACTATTAGTGGGACATTTTCTTTAGATAAGATGGTTTATATGAAGAAACTATATTAAAGGGGGAAGAAAATGCATAAAGGATGAATAAAATCAGTAGGAGTCTCGTCTGAGCTACTAGAATTAGGTTCATAGGCCTTGAAGACCAGTACTGTTTGTATGTGGGGATAATATGTAGCTCTGTTCCGAGACAGTGAACAGCAGTCAGTTATGGTATGTAGGGTGAACAGCTATGTGGTATTCTGGCATTGGATAAGACAGCACAAAGGGATTGTGCTCAGTCCTTTTGGAGATCATTTATGTCCAGACTCAGGATCTGTGGACATTAATGGGAAATTTGAACATTCCTGACAAGTTGCCATATTAGGAGTCAGTTATTTACCTCTCAGATATTCCTAGACCATCCATGATTTCAAGATACTTCTCTTTGTTAAGTATTCCCGGTTGAAATTACTTATGTCCCTTTCTGATTTCCCAACCACCCTCTGTGTTTGAGTTGTGCAACATTGAATTAAATGTGCTTTCCAAAAAGAATTGGCCTAAGGCTGCCCAGTGCTTCCTGTGTTGTTATTTCTGTTTCCTTTGG